CGCTCTGTGCTGACGGGCTATGCATGTGTACGGGCGTGCGCTTTTACGTCGGAGTGAAAACGGGGGTGGCGGCCAATAATGGGCCGGCTGAGGCGCGGTGCACAGTCAAGGACATGAACGCCGAGCATATTAGTGGGTGCAATGAATCATCCCCCCGAGCGCCGTGGCGGATTTGGCGTGAGAGCTGTCGCCAGCGCTAGTCCCGGACAGAAAAGGACAGGACAATATGAGTCTCCTCTTGCGCCTTTTGCACTGTTTAATCCAGACATAAGATACTTGCGTTCTGACAGAGCAACTTTTTCTAACAATTGTAGGTGAATTCAGAAGGGCAATTGGTGAGCATGCGTAAGCTTTCGATGAATTCTCACCGGGCCAGTACATTTATAGGCGAAATAAGTGGGGATGTGTTCAAATGAATGTTGATTGTTATCACGCTGATTAGAATAATCGGAGTGTGAACAAAATGACTTCAGTTTATCCCTTGGAAAGTAGACCATGAACTGGCTTTCTTGGGACTCTATAAGAGGCTCCTGCGAATTAGAGATTTCACTTGTTTTTTTTTGAGTTATGGTCGAAATCTCTTGCGTTCTTACAATATAACCTCCTGCGGGCAAATCCTACTCAGCTGACTCGTTTACTCTAAATGTGGGCTTCGTCTGCCAATTCGAAAAAACACGATTAAATGGCACTCCGACGGGAGTTTCAGATTGGAATTTCTGATACCGAAGATTCAAGACAGGCCTTTGGAACTATAGCATATGGGCATATAATTAGAAAGTATTCTTGGCATAATCCAAAAAATGGAATGGTCACTTGCGACTATTTGCTAAAGCATTTTGAAAGCAGGACAGACCCGAGATTAGAATAGAGTTTCCGTCAAACATTGAGCGAGCCGCCCTACCATGGGTTTGCGTCCTGTCAACAGTGATCGTCGTCTCAACGTTCCTGATACTGGTGCTCTCTAAAAAGGACGAAGTTTTTCATGACTGCCTACTTTACGATATCTATTAGCACTTTATGGCAACTCAAATCGCAAGTTGCTGCCCTGGCAAGTGTGTCTGGCTTATGTAAAATTCCCACACTGGATCTATCTCTTCAGCCAATAGTTCTACCCAAGGACCAATGACCTTGTAGACTGACTCGGTGACTCCTTTTCATATCGGAAGGCACTTCCCGAAAGCTTAAGACTAATGGCCGCATCAAGGGATACACCGTGATCTAGCAGATATGATGATGTCGCGGCATATTACCTCCGTATTCACTTCCATTTGAAGGGGTATTGTCAGGACAGCAGCCTGCTGTAGAAAAGTCTGAATAAAGTGTGAACAGTAAGCACTTTATGGAGGAACTGGTCTGCGCCTGAATAGCTACTCCACGTTAAAGGGTTAGACTTACGAACAAGTCCAAGAAACTCCAACGCTTTCGCGAATTCCTGTTTATGTCAATGATGCTAGTTGACAAGGGTTTTAACTTCGGGTCTTCGAGTCCTACAGATCAAACTTCTAGCTATACTGTCTAGTTTACACATTTGTAGTCATAAGGCGATACATTAAAAATCAACTCAAAACTACATTCCCACAAGTTTGATTCAATCGGAATCTGCAACCTACAAGGCCTACGGCCAGAGTTCTTCCTTACCGCGAAAACTGTCCACTGGCGCATAAAAAGCTGCATCTAAACATAAATCATTCGATTTGACACGTGTCGTAGCCCAGCTTATAGTAAACTGATGGAGGGCTGATGTTTGTGCCAACGTATTTTATTTCCAACGAGCATCCTTGTAAGTTCGTAAACAAGTGCTACCAAATGAGACTCGGGTGAATCGAGATGAGCGGAAAATGGGGCCTGATCTCTTTCGTGAACCCCCCAGCAAGGGGAGCATATAATAATTCCGGATCGGTCTTCATGCAACGCCCCGAAACAAAGACCTGATGCTTATTCAAACAACCCCAGAATTCAAGGTCGCACGGTCACATTCCAACAGGTACCTCTTGTATCATATACTGCATTTTGCTGGCTGCTCATCGCAGTACGACTGGCAAATTAGTATCAGCATAGATGCGTGAGCACGAACTGACAGTGAGGTAGAATGATGTGTACATTAGATGTAGTTGAAAAGTTATCTCAGAGATCATTCGTCTTCCGTGTTAATATATCGCGCGTCTCGCCAGCTGCGTGTTTATCGGGGGTTTGTATGAAACAAATTTCGGTACTGATGTGTGTTCACATGCTATGACAGGTCGGCCTCGAGTGTGGCCGTCAATTTGCTCTCGGCAATGCGCACATCAATACCTGGGCCGAAAGTAGGTGGGGCCCGCAAATCGGACACAAACTTTACTAACAGGCTAGTGGCTCTACTGCCCGCGTAGGAAGCTGCCCAACACCACCTTCGATAATGTACTCGAATGTAAATGCGAAAGGACCGAGGAATGCACTTTCTGCCCCAGAGGACTATTCCTCTTACTTCGACTCAGGTCTATGAGGGATATAAAAGGGTGTGTTATTCCATGCTTTTGGACCCTTTCAGGAGTCAAACTTTAAAGATTAGTTCAGAGCAATAACATGAGCGGTTGAATAGTCTGACAAAGTAGGAAGGAGGGGCAGGGAAGGCAGTGGGGGACAATATAGTCTTGTCTGGCACTGAA